GTTGACTCATAGTTTTTCATTGGTTCTATTATTCTTATATCGTTTTTCTTTGTTTTATCTTGCAGCTGCTGAATTGTTATTCCCTGATCTTTTTTTCATAATTTTATTGATAAACAAATAGCAATGAGACAGTTTCAAATCAAATCGCTAGGACAGCTTCAATAACTAACACACTGCATCTTCTTAGTGGTTACTTGCTGTACAAGATGCGGACTTGAGATCCTATTTACAAACACCATTAGAACATATTCTATTCATTAACAGAATGTAACTATATGTCTATCCTAACCACTTTGAATACACAGATACAAAATGGACATTCATCTGTATACCCTTTTTTTGTTAAGTTCCGTTATTTGAATATTATAGGTGTGTAAACTCAGCAAAATATATTCCCTGATCTTTTGTTATTATCCAGAGACTTTTCCTTTCATGGTAGTTAGTTGTGATCCTGTCTTCAAGGTCTGAAAGTCTTTCTTCAGTTTTATTCAAGTGGTTTTGCCAGCTTTCTGTGGAATTTTAATTTCTTGGATACCTGTTTGAGTTTGTTACGTGCATTGTATTTCTTTCTTATATTAATCATTCACTGTTTCCACTCTCTTCCTATCACCATCTATTATTTTAGTTTATTTCATGTATTTAGTACAGGGTCTCACTATGTAGATCAGACTCGTAGGGATTCTCCTGTTTTCATCCTCCCAAGAGCTGGGATTATAGGCACATGACACCACGCCATCTCAATCGCTGTCTCAGCGTGCCCCAAGGGCGGGGCCGGCATGGCTCACTGCGGGTTGAGCCCTGGTCCCTGTGCCTGCCTCAGCAAGTGCTTTAGTCCACTGAGCTATCTAGCTGTCCCCATCATCTATTTTTTAGATCTATCTCTACTCTAGATTTGCTAAGCAGTTCTTTTATAAATGTTGACATTTCTCTTTTTACCCAAGAGATTTTTTGTGGTCTGATTTCCTTCATCACCTCATGGATTTGCTTCTTTACTTTGGTTGCTGTGATTTCTGATACTTCAGGTGTGTTTCTTCTATGTTGATGTCTCCTGCACTTGTTTCTGTAGGTCAGAGGCCTGCGATTGCATTTTGGTTTTGTCTACTTGGCAGTTTTTACTTAAAATTTTTTAAATTTTGTTTTCTATGATGATCCCTGTGGGCTTTGGTAGTAGCTAACTATACTGCCAAGATCAAGGCCTCTCTAGGAAATGCCTGCTCTTCAGGGATATCTTCTGTGCATAGGAGATTCTTGGCTTGTGTCTATCACTAGATCCTACCTTCCCAACGAATTAAGAGTGGGATGCCGGCATCTGGTTCTGTCCCCCATGCTTCGGTGTAGCGCTGTGGTGAGTGTATTTCCCCACAGCTTCCTCATATTGTTACAGAAGAGAGGACAACTGGTCACAACAGACATGACATTCTAGCTAAAGTGGTGAATTTAGTGATAAGATAGCATCACACACAATTTCAGAACTGAAAAACTGAAGTAACCGTTGATTTTGCTCCAAAGACCAAAGAAACAGTCTGTTATTATATAACATAATCAGTTGTAAAGTAGAGAGTTTACACAAAGTGTTTTTCCTTGTCGGGATATTGAGAGAGAAGAGTGTATGGAACAAAGATAACCGGAAAGGAAGTAGAAACAAGGCTGGCAGAAGAAGGGTGACCTGCAAGAGTTGGCAAGCTAGAGAAAGGGGGAGAGGAGAAAGAATGAAGTAGTATTCCAGGATTATCTGAATTTAGTCTCTGGGTATGGGGGGTGGGGTTAGTTGTCTGTGGTCAGAGTTATCCACAGCCATTTAGAAAAGAGAGGAACAAAAAGAGCAACAGAAAGGAAGGAAGGAAGAGTGATGAAGAAGAAAAAGAAAAGAAAAATTTAGAGCTGGGCGAGATACTGAGTCCTGGATTCGTCCCGAGCTGGTTGCCACCCGCAAAGACCTCAGTCACCTGTGGGCTCCTCCTGTCACTGTCACTTCAGAGTTTTCGCTCCATTAGTCTCTCCTGTCTGCCCTGTGCTCCTTGGTGGGGACCCTCCTGTGTCGCTGGCACCCTTCCTCCCTGGGCCTTCCTGTGCAGGTCAGCTCAGTCATGGCCACAGGAGGGGAGCGGCCGGTGCAACTCGCCAGGCTCCCGTGGTGTCAGAGAGGCAGACGGAGGGACCTCTCTTGGCTGGCGCAGCTCACTTCAATGTATTATCTATTGTTATTCTCTTACCATTGTGTTTTATTTTTATCTTTAAAGCAAAGGGCTGGCCAAATAGTTCAATGGATTAAAGCACCTGCAAGCAGGCACAGGGGCCGGGGGTTCGATCCCCGGGCCTGCTGTGCTGGCCCTGCCCCTGGGATGCACTGAGACGGTGACCGAGACTGGGCATGGTGGTACGCGCCTGGTGGCCTGCGCCTGTAATCCCAGCTCTTGGGAGGCTGTAAACAGACAGAGCACTACAAGTCTGATCTAGTAGTGAGACCCTGAACACCCTGTAGACCCTTCCCTAAAAAAATACACACACAAAATAAAAATAAAATAAAATAAAGCAAAGCAGAAAGACTGACAGGAGAAAATGGAGACAGATCTTTCGCAAACAAGAAGGGGTCCAAGAGACTCAGGACAGGAGAGGAGGAAGAGGAAGGGGAAGTGAAAAAGATGCAAGATGTGTCATGCGCATATATTAAATTCTCATGATGAAGGTAAACACTGTCATAAACATGAACTAATAATAATGATAATAATAATGATAATATTAACAGGGAAAATGGGCAAAGGCATCTAGAGACAAGGAGGGGTGGGGAAGGATAAATAAAGGGCATCAAAAGGTGTGATGCGCGTGTACTTCCTCCTAAGACAAATGGAAACTTCATGTATTGGAAACATGTGCTGATAAAACCACTTTTTCCGAGAGAGGGTTTCTCTACACAGTCCAGGCTGGCCTGGCACTCACTTGGCAACCAGGCTGGCCTCGAACGCAGGGAGCTCCTCCTGCCCCAGTCTCAGGCTCCGCATGACCCTCGCGGCTGAGCTCACAGGAGTGCACCACCACGTTCGGCCATAAAGTATATTTTTAAAAAGAGAATTACAGTGGTGCGTGTCAGACTCGTGGCCCACCTGGAGAGGCTCAGAAGTTCCAAACACTCCTGAGCCTCAAGCCCCCCGCTGGACCAGGCAAGTCAGAGTTGTGCGCTGGCAGCCCTTCCGGCCGCCCGGGCAGCCCACAGGGCAGCTGTGAGGCCACCAGGTCGGGCACTGGGTGGTCTCTGTAGGGGGCGGAGGCTGGGCGTGGTGGGCGCGCCTAACCCCCTGGACGCACCCAGCAAGGCCTCCCAAATACGAGCAGCACCTTTTCTTCTGTGTCTACTTTTCTGTCTCTTGCGCAGCAAATTCATTGAAAATCTTGCTCTTCGGGGCAGGAATGGCTTAAATCTTTCTTCCCTGCCAGCTTTAAAGCAGGTATCTGTGAAGAAGAAAGAGCCAATGGGGCCTTTGTGAAGGAGATCAGCGGGAGGGAGGCCGCCCTGGGCCCTGGGCGCTGAGCGCCGGCCAGGAAGCCTCTGAAGGGTGTCAGCTCGCCGCCTGCTTCTTCCTCAGAGGGGAGCAAGCCACGGACTAGCACGTGCCCTTGTCCTCGGAACCATGTCGAATGGCGGGTCGTGGTGGCCCGGTTTCTGCTCACCAAGTCCTTGGTACAAATAAGGGCAAGTGCTGGGCCTACATAGCTGCGCTCTGTCTTTCTTCCTCGTCTTCATTTTCTTTTAATTGCCACCGGCAAACCCAGGGATCGAACTCCCAGCCCTTGCGCCTACTTGCAAGTGCTTCAATCCACTGAGCTGTTTGGCTGGCCTTCATTTTCTTTTAAATGTGAGTTTTGGAAAAAGAAAACCTAAATAGTGGAACCACTTGAATGATGATGAGAGAGTAAGTATAGAGCATCTTCAGATCTCAGCAAGGAGGGGGGGAGGGGGAGGCGGAGAGAGGGAGGGGGAGGGGAGAGAGAGGGAGGGAGAAGGGAGACAGGGAGAGAGAAGAGGGGGAGAGAGAGGGAAGAGGAGGGAGGAGGGAGAGAAGGGAGAGAAAGGGAGGAAGAAGGGGAGAGAGAAAGGAGGGGGGAAGGGGGAGGGAGAGAGACAGGGACAGAGAGGGAGGGAAGGAGAGGGATAGGGAGGGAGAGTAGAGTCAGGTGCAGGACCCACAGACGTCCAACTTGGGTGGGCAAAGGATTCTTGGGCCCAGGGCCTTGGTTCCTATGGTCCCTTGAATCTATAACATCCAGGGTTAAGTCTTCAAGGGCTCCCTACAAATGAGAGTGTGGAGGTGGAGGCCCTTGGACTTTGGGGCAGGCGCGACCCCACAGTCAGCTTACCCTGGGCCCTACAAACCGGACTAGAAGCACCAGTGCCTACCACTGATGTCTCCAGGGTACAAGAACTCTGCGTGTTCCGTCCAAAGGTAGGCAAGCAAGGTAGGACTGACAGCGAGAAGAGGATGCCTTCTCATGGCCTTGTTCCTACTCCAGAGGCCTGGGTTCTACATGCAAACCTTTCAAATCATTTGATTAATATGCAGTTTTATATTTCTCTGCATATAGAAGGAATTGCAGCTGTATAGTAGTGATTGTTGCCCACAGGAAGGCACCACGAGTTACGCCAACTGAGACTGAAGGAAGGATACAGTACCGAGGAGCAGAATGTCACGTGACAGAGGTCTTGGAAAAGTTGGAGCAAGGAGGAAGTTTCGGATGCGGATCAGGAAGACAGATGCACGAATCGTAACGTTTGAGGAAATGAAAACGATGTTTTGCATCCACCAGGAATATTTCATCAGGAAAATATATCTACCTAATCAGATAATTGCCTGTTTATTAACATAAACAATAACAAGGAAAGAGCACTGCCAGTAATGACAGCAACCGCTCAGCAGGGTATAAAAGGGGACAGGGGCAGGCAGGCTTCCAAACCTCTCAGACCCTCCACCTTGCAAACCCAACCAGAACTTCCAGCCGCCGACACCATGGTCAATTCCTGTTGTGGCTCCGTCTGCTCTGAGCAGGGCTGTGGCCAGGAGAGCTGCTGCCAGCCCAGTTGCTGCCAGTCCAGCTGCTGCAGGACCACCTGCTGCATCTCCAGCTGCTGCAGGCCCCAGTGCTGC